CCCGTGTCCCCTGCATCGGCAGGCGGACTCTCAACCACTGCGCCACCAGGGAAGCCCGTCAGATAAATTTTTAAACAGACCAGTAAGAACGATCAAGTCACAAACTCAAACTGAGCTACGGGGTAGATTCCGTAACTTCATTTAATATTGATAGCAGCTCAATTTAAATCTTGAAAAAACAAATACCTTTAATAAATTTGGAGTGAATGATTACATATTTTGATATAACTATCATACAGGAGTGTGTACATATATAAATCTGTAGGTAGAATTATATACATTTCAATATATACCACATATATATTTTTTCTTCTCACATTTTTCTCTTCAGTAAAACAAAGCAGTTTTACTGTACATAGATGTGTGATGCTACATTAAGTCCTGAGTGATTTAAGGGATCGTTAACAAACTACAGTAAATTCTAGTCTTTCAGCTAAAGATCCAGTAGATTCAGTAACAAAAATGTGAACAAAATGTTTAAAAATATGCATTCAGCGAGGCGCTCGTTTTGTGCTTAGCGGAGAAAGCTTGAGAGTGCACGGCCACCATTTGGGAAAAACTTCTTGAATATTCAAGATTAAACAAATATCCTATTTGAACGGATTTATCGAAGTTGATGTCACCTACATCCAATGTGTCAAGCATGGAAGACTCCAGTCATGACTGGACCGAAAATCCCTTTTGCAGAATATGAAATTCTGTGTAAACATCAGTGCTTAGGGATTATATAAAAGGTTCAGACTCAAATGGGGAAAAAGCAAAATACAATGAAATAACTTAAAATGCTTTTCTTGGGAGCCAGCTACATGGAAGGAATATAAAAAAATAAGAGTGTATTTTGGTGAAAGAGGAAACCAGATGAAAGCCATTAGGGAGGTGTGGTCAGCCACCCACCTCGGGAAGCCCCAGGCTGGCTCGGCCCCGGGGTCCCAGGGTGATGGAGCCATGGGGACGGATTCTGCACACAACAGGGAGAAGGCCACATGCACCCACGAGGGGCAGGGACAGCCGCCGCCGTCAAGGTCACCGTCACCCAGCCCGGCCCCCCAGCCCCACGCTCCGCTCAGGCACTAGGAGGAAGCGGTGAGGGGTCCAGGCCCCTGGCTGGGGGGCCGCTCGGACCAGAAGGCACTGCGTGGCGTGGCCCCATCACCGGCCCTACCCCGTCCCGTGGCTGCTGTAGTCGAAGACGCCCTTCTTGAAGAACGGCGAGAACTCGCAGACGGTGTGTTTGGACAGTGTCAGCCCCACCTTGTCGATGTGTAGCGGGGACGTCGCTGACTGGAGCATCACGCTGAAAAAGTCCCTGAGGTACCTCTGGGGAAGAGACAAGAGGCAAAAACACGGTCAAGACACTGTGGGGCGGGGGGGAGGGGGGAGGAACGTCCCGTGGAGCGTGGAGGAGCTGCCACCGTCGTTAGAAACAGCGCAGGGGACCCTCCGCCGCCGCCTTTGCCCCATCAGACCCACCTGGGGAGCAGCCATGGTGCCCGGCGTTCAGGTGATGCTTCCTGGCTCCTACGACATGGCTTGGACCTGTCTGCACACAACGCCCAGAGGGATGCTGGGCAGTGGCGCCTGGGCTTGGGGTCTGCGAACCAGCAACAGTGTTGCTAGTTAATAAAGTCATCCCCCCCCCCCCC